TTTCCTGTCTGTCTGGAGTATAACCCGTAAAAATGATATATAGCTGTTTGCACTAATCTTGAGACAGCATGAGTTTTAAAAAGCAGAACTAAAAAATAAAACTGCAAACCTAGCTGATTTAATAATTTGTGCTTAGAGTCAGTAAAATTAACGGACCTAACCACAAGGTATAATTAACATAGTGGGTTGAACTTGGGAGGGGGCATGTTAATCTCAGACCCCAAAGTGATGTGGTGTGATTTGCTTATTGGGTAAACCCAAGCTTAGGCAGTAACTTATTATAATGATTTCTAACACCTTTTAACCCCATAGGATAACAGCTATAAAATAAGATTATAAATTCTGTATAGCCAACAGATTAACATAGACAAGATATAAAAGAACACGCACGTTAAGTGACCCTCTTAAAGGATGGAACAGAAGGGTCACTGCTGTCCCATGCCCCCAGATCTCTTACTCCCTGTGTGAACGAGGACCAGATCCTGAATGAGGGACCTTCCCCCGGTATCGCCCTCCGACAGCATGGATCAGGGATGCCCAACTTCACTGAATCAACTTGACGTGTACCTGACACTGAGGGACTATCAATAAGTTACTAACCAAGTGGGAACTCTTGGTTGATTTCTCTGTTTGTTTTTTTATTATCACTGCCAATTTTAACTTGTATTGTTGTGTTGTCTGTTTATTAGCTTAACCTTTTTATTAACTGTTATATGTGTAAACTATATTTTTTGTTGTTATAAGTAAAATTTATTCTAAGTTAAACTTGTCATTGCTTTCCTCCCAACATCACCTCCTCGATCCCAAACCAAAAAACCCAGTGGCTAATATAAGTTGCAGTACTTGGTCAACCTGCAACTAAATTGATATACTCACAATACCCAGCTGGCCTGTGACAAACACCCCCCCCCACCACCATTTGGAAGCATGGGGACGCTGAATACATGTGACTCTAAGGCTGCTGGAGCATGCTAATTAGTACACTCCAGCAGACTTGATTAATTAAGTCTGATCCAATGCACATGTAGAATGCACATGTATAGGTGCCCGTACTGTCCAAATTAATACCTGAGAAATGAAACGGCATGTAATTATATCAGATTCTAAGGAGATACAAGAACATGGTTTGTTGTAGCTCAAACACACTGTTTTGGATAGGATTGCTGCAGAATGCCAGGAATTATATCAAGATTCATAAGCTATGTTTACAATGTAATTCTTTGGGACCTCACTCCACTCTTTTGTTGTAGGATTTAAAACATCACAATTTCTGAGTTGAAGTTGGAATTGCCTCTTCAGTAGGGGACATTACCTGAAGGAATATGTAGTCATCCTGCACAGTCAGGGAATCCTGGTCAATGCTGCCAGTAAACAAGACTGTCATTGTTTTATCAGAACAATTCTGAATTTGACAGGTGATGTAACAATAACCTGAAGATGGAGAGAGAGACATATTTATAGGCTTTTCAAAATAAAAGAAGCAAACATTTTGAAATCCTGTTCTTATGGAAAAAGTATCACCCTTATATTCCGTTGAGAATAATTAAACTTAACCCTCCTATAAAATTTTAATCTCTTAATCCTCACTCCATTCCTGAGAAGTAGGCAGGTATTCTTCTCATCTCAGAGGCAGGGAAACTGAGGCCCAAAGAACTTAACAACTAATTGTTCACTGGTTACTGTAGAGGCATACATAAGTGAAGGCCAGGAAAAGAGCTTCTCTCCTTGCTTGACCTGCATACGGGGCCAAATTTATTATCAGCAGTGCAAATTTAAAATACTGTTAATGATAGTAAAGGAGTTCCTCTAGTGTAAGACTGAGTAAATTAGAAGAATAAGGCCTGCCTAATGGGTGAAATATCCCTGCTCTAGAATTATGAAGGTCGTTTTCAAAATTCTGATGAGATTGTATAATTCCATATTAAATGCTGTAGAATTCTTCTAATTCCATATGCTGTATGATTCTTATAATTCCTTATTAAATGCTGTAGGATACAACCTGCCCAGCCGCTTCTATCCCCGAGGCTCAACACCATGCACTTGCAGCTCCACACTCACAGAGGAGAAGCCCCGCACTGGACTCCACTGGGAAGCAGGGGGCAGGACTCTCTCCAATCCCAGCACAGTGCTGGGACCTGCATGGCAGGGAGCAGGGGATGCAGCTGGCTCCAATGCAGTGCTTCCCCCACTGCAAGTGCTGGAGCTGCAGGCTCAGGAAGCAGAGTTGTGGAGATAAAGCAGGCTCCACTCTCTCCCTGCCCACAGCACTGGCTGGAGACGCACCTGCACTGGGCACGAGCACCCTGATCTCCCTGCCTGCTGCTGCTGCCAGGCAGTGGGGCAGGGGCTGCATGCGCTGGGGGGAGTGTGAGGGTCCCTACACCCCCCACCCTCCATCACACCCCCCACAGCCACACCCTGCCCAGCTGAGCTCCGTACTCCTGCTGCCCCTCTGAGGGAAGGAAGAAGAGGGGGAAGAGTTCCTCCCAGCATGGAACAGAGCCTCCCCCTGCTCTGGTGGGGGGGGTGCAGAAGAGTGGGTAGAAGAGTGCCCCGCTGGGGCTGGACAGCATCCCATAGAGACTTCCCTCCCCTCCTTGTAGCAATGGGGGAGAAGCAGGGGGAAGAGTCCACTTCTGGGTCCAGGCAGCCTCACAGAGCCCCCCCACTTCCACTCCACTGCAGGGTGGGGGCAGGAGGAGGGAGAAGAACCCGACAGCACTGAACAGGGCCCCCCTCCTGGCCCCGTGGTGGTGGGGGAGAGGAAGGAGGGGGAAGAGTTCCCCTCCGAGGCTGAGCAGCCATGTGTCCCGGGAATCCTGGCTGTCAGGGAGCCACTGGGGTGGGCCCACTAGGGCCTGGCCATGCCCCCACCCCCCAGCTTAGCTTCCCTGTGGAAGGGAGGGCTACTCTAGCACCCCCAGGCTTCTGGCTTTAGCCACTGCAGGCATGTGCCAAACACCTATCCACTTACAAACTGGTACACTCTCTGCAGGTTAGACTAACCTGCAAAGACTGAATCAATTCAGACTCAGGCTTCATAGCTCCCCAAGCCCCACCTAGCACCACCACTGCTTGCCCTGCACAAGGGTGGGGGCACAGCTGGCATGGCTCCCTTATGTGAGCAGGCAGGGAGGGGGCTTATTCTGCTGCTCACCCTGTGCAGAGAGCAATTGGTGGCGGCTAGAGTCAGTCGCCCAGGGGCTGCTGTGGCAGTGAGGGGATGCACCAGGTGGATCCCTGCTTGGATCTGTGGGACATGGAGGCAGGAATTAAACCCCCTGCTTGGCCAGTTCACTTCAGGCTACCGCAGCTTCCCTGCAGCTGAGGGCTGCTCTAGTGCCTTCCGGCTCCTGGCCTGAGCCACTGCTGGCATGTGCCCACATTTCCTCAGTCCAGAGGGAGTGTCTGTTCACTTGCAAATTGGTTCAATCTAGGCAGGTTAGATTAATCTGCAAAGATTGGATCAATTCAGTCTTGGGCTTTTTGAATGTCTGCCCCTAGCTTTGGGGTTTTCAAATTCAAAATCTACATGTGGATATGAATTTTGAAAATGGCTACTATCATTATCATGTCTGCATGCATGTATAGAGAGAAGGTTAGCCAAGTTAGTCTGAAGTCAAGCAGAAGGTAGGGCAAGGTAATACCCTAGAAATTAATTGGGTTAGAGAGGCATGAACTTTCATGAGCTACCTACTTTATCAGAGGCTACGGCATCATGAGCATGAAAGCTCATGCGCCTCCGAATTTGTTAATCTCTAAGGTGCCACCCTGCTCTACCTTCTTCCTGAAATCATACAGAAGTATTAACTGAACTGCCCAGCATAGCTCATGTCTAATTTAAACCAAGCAAAATAAAAGGGCAAATGATGCCTTTTTTTAAAAAAACTGTGGAGAGCCCTAGAAGTAACTGGAATTTTTCTCCTGAAGGAAAAAAGAGGCTTTGCCAGGGTCCTTTTCAGGTTTATGCCAGTATCTTAAGAAGTAGTAATGTCACCACACCAAAGAGTTGTAAGATACAGTAGGTTTGGGGGGAACAAATGAATTTTCTGCTATATGGATTCACTAGTCATCATTCTTGGTTGCCTTTCACCTACTCAGCCACCTGCAGGTGGCTGCTCATTGTGCCAGGCAGATGGAGTGGGGGTGGAAGGTGGCCAGGAGAGAGAGCTGGAGCCCCATGTACTGAAACAGGAGCCCCCTGGCTGCAGCTTCCCCTGCCCTGAGCGGCGTAACAAGGGTAGGGTTACCATACATCTGGGTTTTCCAGACATGTCCTCTTTTTTGGACACATGTGCTGTGTCTGGGTGGGTTTCTGAAATAATGTCTGGGTTTTCTGCTCTCCTAGGCTGGCTGCTTGGGGCTGGGAACAGCGGGCAAGATGATGGTTTGCTGCGGGTCATGTGCTCCCTATGTGGACTCTGGCAACCAGGTAGAGAGAGAGGGTGCATGCACAATGGGGAGCTGCTTGTGCAGCAAGCCTGGGGGGGCAGAGATCTGCAGGTCGGGAGTAAGGGGCATCAGCAGGGCTGGGCGGCAGGGCAAGGGGCTGCAGGTTGGGAGTGAGGGGCACTGGCAGCCCTGGGAGGGGCAAAGGGGGCTGTGGATCAGGAGTGAGGGGCCCAGGGGATGGGATGAGTGACTGTGGGTTGGGTGTGCAGGACACTGGCAGCACCAGGGGGCTGCAGATCAGGAGAGAGGGGGACCAACAAGGGGTTGGGGGCAGGGTACTGCAGTTTGGGAGAGAGGAGCACTGGCAGGGCTGGGGTCAGTGAGGGGCAGCAGAATGGGTGGGAATGGGCAGGAGCAGGGCACTGGCATGCCACTGCCCCCCATTATCATATTCCCCTTGCCACCCCACAGGTGTCCTCTTTTTTGGACCTGGAAATATGGTAACCCTAACTGCAGAGACAGGGGAAGAAGGAGCTGCTGGAGGCAGGCAGAGCTGAGCAGTACCCGGGCAGCTGCAGCCACACTGGGAGCAGCCCTGCTGGGAGGCTGTACACACTGGCTGGGGCCAGGGACTGCAGGTGGGAGCACGGTGTGGGCTGCCTGAGCTGGAGCAGGCAGGGCTCAGGCCCATGTGGAACGCTGTGGGAGCAGCTGCGGGCCAGTTCCAATCAACTGTTTGGCACCGGCCCATGGACCAGATCCAATCAATTGGTGGGATGGATGTGTCCTACAGGCCATATTTTTGCCCACCCTTGCTCTAGATGCACATAAGGCTGCCTTTTGAGAGAACTGAGAAATTATGCACCTTCCCAGATGGAATAAGTTCACTTTCCTGAGGTAAGAAGCATACTTTTTAGTCCAGGAGGCCACATATGCTTAGGCATCTGGCAAAATAGACAGACAGGTGCATTTTGGAAATTCAGGCTCTACCTCTTTAACAATTATAATTGTATGTAGGATGATAATTTAAGGAATTAAATAACCTTTCCTGGATGTAATTCCTAAGAAGAGTCACCTAAACTTTGTGATTGTGGTATCCACTTGGTATAACATGTTCTGGCTGCTAATCTATATTTAAAAACCCCAGACAAATTATGCTGAATTTGCAACACAAGCAATTTCTGGGGAAAGATGGTTAGTTCAGTAGAAATGACATATGCAGGGATTCATTCTAACAGACACTCACCCAGCACTACATTGCACCGCCAGCTCTATTTGCAAATCAGGAAAAAATGTTCAATGTTTAAGTGCCAGAACAAATTGCACTATTAATGGACTTTTTCACTGGAGCATATCATCTTGACTTCAATTTGCCTCAGAGTGGAAAACAAGTAAATTTTAAATTATACTACATTTCTATATAACAGGACAGCTTTGCAGAATACAGATAAACACAGCAAGAATCTGAGATGTGGAAAATGCATCTTCCCACCAGTTTTAAGTGTCTATAAAAAGTATTCTTTAAAATAAAAAGAAGCAACAATATATTAGGATACCATTGCTAACACTGTCATTTGCATACCTCCACTGGGGTCCTGAATTTCCATATGAACCAAATCAGGATCTCCATCAACTCCAGCAACAGCCCTGTAAACATAATATAATCAAGTTATGTTGGGTCAACTACAGAATAGTAATTACACAGACGGAAAAACAGAAGGATTTCATACAACATTTTTCCAGGCTTCTTATTTGGCAATTTAAAATAAAAGCCATTTATAATTTTTATGGAAAAGACATATTTTCTGTTCTTCACATTATATCTGTCTTTATCTTTTCTTAGTAGAATCCCCATCTTTACAACATTCATACAGAGTATATACTAATTTCAATTGGAGAAAGGAACAGAATATACGTGCAACTCCTGACCAAATGGGTTCTTATTGATACAATCCTAATTTAATCCATTTTAATCACGCATTTGATACACAAGTGCACACATCTGCCATGCTGAATAAATAGCACATCTTTTTTTAACTAGATTTGGCATTAAGGACCCTAGGGTCAGATTCACAGCTAACAAATATTTGGGATTATTTCCATATTATAAACATTGTAAACCTGATGCACAATTCCCATAGCTAATCAATATATTTTTTTTTAGGTATATTCACTGGAATCAGTTTCAACTTGAACAAATGAATTTAAGAATGAAGATTAATTTTCAGGAAGAATCTTTGAATAAAATTCAGTCAGAACTCATCACTATGTAGTTTAACTTAGACAAGGTATAATAGTGATCCAGCCTGACTCTGTCTGAATGCTTCCAGTATCAGATTCACTCAGTCAGAAGATGATTTTCTAATCCTCAGGGCTTCCGTCTCAATCTAGGATTAGAAAAATGAATCTGTGCTCTTCCTGGCTGTTATAATCATTAGTAAGAAAGATTCTGCATGGAAACTTAGGTGAAAGTTTTGTTGTCACAAAGCAAAACTGAATCCAGACCACATGCTCATAGTCACATTAACTCTGCATTGTGCATGCAGGTTAAAAAAAAACCAAACAGGACTCCATATGGAAAGTAGATATGACTTAAAAACATGCTGAGCAGAATCTAAGCAGATAAACTGAGTGACAAAGTACAATCTGGATATCATCAGTCTTTTTAAGCCATTAAATTACTTGGAATAAATCAGGCTCTTGGTCGTTATTAACAATAAAATGCAAAAGGGTTATACACTCTGTTGAACTTACATCACTTTGATTAATGGCACTGATAAGACTGATTTATGAGGAAAGATTAGGGGTCAGATTCTAAGTGGCTTGTCCAGGGGTGCATACAAAAGGGAAATCTTTTCTAGGCTTGACGTCAATCAGAAACAGCAACACGGCCTTCTCTCCCTCGACACCCTCAAGGTGAGGAACAAGCTAGAAAGGGTGGGCACAGGTCCTTCTGCACAAGTCAGCAAGGCCACTCACATAGCCAGTGGGTAACACATGAGGACCTCTACAAGAGATCTACCTCCCTGATTCAGAATTCCTTCCTACACTCCCCTGAATCCAGTCAGTCTTCAGCTCTGCACAACACCCAGGATCCAATGTGTGATGACTAAACTCTATTAGAGCTATTGTAAATGAGTGGTGTTCACCCTGTGCTGAGGGCCAGCCCAAAAACCATGCCCTCGATACAGATTTTTTAAAGTCACCTGCAGGAGGCCGAGTTTAGGATGCAGTACAATGGTTTGGAGAGGAAAATAAGTGAAGGTGGTAAGTGAAGGAGTTGAGCTCCATGTAAGTGTAGATGACAAATCTGTTACCACCCTTCTGCCATGTACAGAATCCTGAAACATTCAAGAATAAATTGACACTTGGAGCTGTGTGTGCACAGGCTGAGGCTATCTCCTCCCAGCAGAAATTTAGGGAATAGCTGGACCCCTGGCTCCATCCCATGATGTGCTGGCTAGCCACAGTCATATGCCAAATGCAAATTAATATCTTCCCCCTTCCCCCACCCTGAGGCAAAAGGGAAAATAAAAACACAGTTCCTCTCATATACTGCTTCTAGGTTGGTCCAAGCTATGTGCTGCCCCATATATAGAAGTCTTGCAGAAAAGCTATAATCTGGTCTTTAAGAAACAGAGAATATTATGGCAGAAAGATGTTATTTGCAGCATGGCTGTGTCTGAAATAAATGGGTAGAATTATGTGATGTGAGAGAAAGTGATAAGTCAAGTCAGGAAATTATTAAGCCTTAAACAAGAAAAAAGTCTTACTTCTGCTGTGAAATTAATCTAACACAAAATATATTCTGGTATACTGAGGACAACATACCACGCACGACAAGACAGTTTAATGATGGAATAGCTTTTTAAGGGTGCATATGAATAGAGGGGAGAATCCTCCAACATTTTCACTGGGAAGACCAATTTTATTTCTGCAAATATTCACAGCATACCAAATCAACCATGATATCACTTCAGTAGCTGCTGTTCATGGAAAAAGGAAGACGTTTGTTGAATATTTTAGTTTTTAACTGGACCCCATGCAGCTGGGCAGAGAACTAGCGGAAACTTCAAGAGCTGAAATCTTCCAAGACTTAACTAGAGATACCAATCATCATCAATAATGCAAAGATTGCTTTTCAGGGCACTTTTAAAATAAACTCTTGTATCCATAATTTATCACCTATGGTTTTAAAAGCACAGTTGGAAATGTTTGTTAATACTGTTAGCCTTTTCAAACTCCTTTGAATGTCCCAAAATTACTAGAAGTCTCCTGATGACTTAGTTCCTCCTAAGTAAAATAAAGTTTATATCTGTACTGTCTGTTTTCACTTCCATTGTAACCCTTTAATGCCAAAATCTGTGACTGATCTGTTTTAATATGGACTGAACAGACATTTAAAGTATAAGTTCTCATCCCAGAAGCTCCTCCCACCTTTTAACATTTCATTTGAACAGATACGGATGTGAATCGAAGTATCTATTTTAGATTAGACAGTAAAACTAGCTTTCTTTCGTTTGTTTTTTTGGTTTAGACACTTTTCTTGAACACTTCCAACAAAACCACCCTTCTTTAATTACACAGAGCCAATAAGCATGGATTTGGTCCTATTAACATGAAAACAATGGACTAGATTAATTAAGCTTAATAAGTAAACCAAATATTTGTGTGTAAAATAATGAATACACCTTTGGTGTGTATACATAATATGTTACAGTATTATAGCTTGTAGAATATGTAAAGAACAACATCCAGCTGACACTAATTTACCTTAGCCTGACCAAAGGCATGCTCCCTTTAGGTTCACTGATAAAAGTGTAGCCTTTATGCCATCAGGATTAGTTTTCAGTTTCAGTTACACTAAAAGAGAGCATTCATTTTCCAAAGCATAGAGAGCTCTCATTTGGCCTGGTGGGTCATTGACAGACCTCAGAACTGACCTCCAAATCATCCGATTTCATCTTAGAAAAATTTGGTCATTATGGTTGCAAAGAAAACCATTCAAACATGTAATATAAATAACACATAGTACTTGCCTAAATTTCCAGGAAGCCAGGAACAATACGTCGTAAGAGTCAAATGCTGCAAACATTTTAATGCAGAGATCAGTTGCCTACAGCCCACGGTCTGCAGCAGACCTACAAAGGGATTAGATCCAGCCTGAAAAGGTCCAGTTCCATCTGTTTTTTTCTAGGGGCGCACCAATTCCCTTAGTTTGATCCAATCTCATCCACAATTTGCTAATGGCTGGCCTATCTGCTCTAGGCAGCTGTTACTGCCCATGTGGAAGACTGCTGTTCTTCCTCAGCACAGCCTCTGCTCCCTGTCATTGGAGCAGCCGAAGGGAAATGGTACCAGATGGGTTGCAAAATTTCTAGTAATGAAAAAGCCTTTGGCACAAGCTGATTCAGTAGTGCATAGCCCAACCAGCTATTTTCAGAGACATCTGATGCCAGCCATTGAAGGTGAATATAGAGATCTTGAGAGACAACTTCAAGGTGTGTGTGGCTTTGATCGTAGCATGCAACATGGTATGGTACATGGAGTTAAACTCTACGGAGCTTGATTTCCCAATGGCACACACCTGGCAGAATGTAGCTGGTTAAATATTCATCACCAAAACTTTTTTTTTTCCAAATGGAAAAAATGGGTTTTCAGTAAAGCATAATGGGTTTTCTCATAAAGCATCTGCCTTCCTCATTTAAAAAATGTTATTATTATTTATTTGTCCATCAGAAGTCTAAAAAACCAAAAAGGGGGCGGGAAAGGCTTGTAGCGGTTTTTGGTTGAAAGTTTCCATTATTCAGCTGGTTTTCCCCCCTGCACTTTTGTTTTTTTGTTTATGATGCTTAGTTCCCTTTTTTCGGTTTTGAAGTTTCATAGTTTCAAAGTAGCTAGGGTCAGAAGGGACCTGAACAGATCATCTAGCCTGACCCCCTGCCACAGGCAGGAATGAATGCTGGGTTCACAAGATCCCAGACAGATGATCGTCCAACCTCCTCTTGAATTTGCCCAAGGTAGGAGCAAGGACCACTTCCCTGGGATGTTGGTTCCAGATTTTGGCCACCCGAACAGTAAAATATTGCCTTCTGTTCTCTAATCTAAACCTATTCGCCATCAGCTTATTACCATTGTTCCTCATCACCCCAGGTGGTGCTGGGGAGAAAAGGGCTCTACCTACTTGCTGTTGATTTCCCCTGATGAGTTTGTAGGCAGCCACCAGGTCCCCCCTCAGCCTCCTCTTTCAAGGAGGGGATTGCTCAGAAGTCTAGAAGTTTTCAAGGACAGGATTGCTTAGAAATCTAGCTTTTCCATGAAATGTCGGGGCATTTTGTTTGTTTGTCTCTGTGGAAGTTTTAAACAGGAAAAATAAATCTTTCTGAGAGAGGGAGAGGTATCGGATCTCGGGAATTCCCAGGGAACAAACCCCTGACCCAAGCCCTCTCTCTCCATACTTAACTCGGAGGAAGAAAGGAACAGCCAGCAGCCTCATGTCAGGGGTGCATGCCAGCTCGAGATGGGATCACGCAGCATGGGAAGAGGAACTGTCAGTTTGAGACCCCAGTTTGAATCCTGGAGAGGCAAGATGGAGGCAGAGGGGCGAAGCATACCCGAGGTTCCCCCGGTTTGAATCGGGGGGAGAA